ACACCCACCCATCATACACCCACCACCATACACACCCACCACACACCCACCCACCATACACCCACCACCATACCCCACCCACCCACCATACACACCACCCCTCCATACACACCACCACCATACCCATCCTTCTTTACTGTATACATGAGGACATACACCCTGAGGATACACAATCTTGTGTGTATACGGCAGGTGTGTATGTTGTGTGTAGTGGTGGTGGTAGTAATAGTAGTGATGGTGAGTGGGGTGGTGGTGGTGATGTGAGTAGTTGTGGTGATGTTAGTAGTGATGGTAGTGGTGGTGTGGTGGTGGTGAGTAGTGGTAGTGGTGGTGATGGTGGTAGTAGTGATGGTGGTGAGTGTGGTGATGTGGTGGTAGTGGTGGTGAGTGGTGGTGGTGTGGTGGTGGTGGTGATGTGTGAGTGATGGTGGTGGTGGTGGTGGTGGTGATGGTGTGGTGGTGTGGTGATGGTGGTGAGGTGATGGTGTGGTGGTGGTGGTGGTGGTGGTGGTGGTGGTGGTGGTGGTGAGAGTAGTGGTGGTGGTGATGAAGTGATGGTGGTAGTTGGGTGGTGGTGGTGGTGGTGATGGTGGTGGTAGTGGTGGTGATGGTGTGGTGGTGGTGGTGTGAGTGAGGTATGTGGTGGTGGTGGTAGTAGTGGTAGGTGGTGGTGGTGAGGTTGGTGGTGAGGTGGTGAGGTGGTGTGAGTGGTGGTGGTGTGGTGGTGGTGGTGGTGGTGGTGTGTGTGGTGTGGTGTGGTGTGGTGGTGTGGTGGTGGTGGTGGTGGTGGTGGTGGTGGTGGTGGTGGTAATTAGTGGTGATGGTGTGGTGGTGGTGGTGGTGGTGGTGGTGGTGGTAGTAGTGGTGGTGATGGTAGTAGTGATGGTAGTGGTGGTAGTGGTGGTGGTGATGGTGGTAGTGGTGGTGGTGGTGGTAGTGATAGTGAGTAGTGGTGTTGGTGGTGTGGTGGTGGTGGTAGTGGTGGTGGTGGGGAGTATGGTGTTGTGGTAGTGGTGATGGTGAAAGTAGTAGTGGTGGTGGTGGTGGTAGTCGTGGTGGTGGTGGTGGTGTGGTGGTGGGTGGTGTGTGTGGTGTGGTGTGGTGGTGGTGGTGGTGATGGTGTGTGGTGGGTGGTGGTGGTAGTGGTGGTGGTGATGTGTGTGGGTGATGGTAGTAGTGTGGTGATGGTGGTAGTGGTAGTGGTGTGGTGATGGTAGTAGTGATGGTAGTAGTGGTAGTGGTGGTGGTGATGGTGGTGGTAGTGGTGGTGATGGTAGTGTGGTGGTGGTGGTGTAGTGATGGTAGTAGTGGTAGTGGTGGTGTGTGATGGTGTGTGGTGTGGTGGTGATGGTGGTGGTGGTGGTGGTGATGTGGGTGTGAGGTGGTGGTGGTGGTGGTGGTGGTGTGTGGTGGTGGTGGTGTGGTGGATGGTGGTAGTGTGGTGTGTGGTGGTGGGTGATGGTAGTAGTGGTGGTGGGGGTGGTGATGGTGTGGTGGTGGTGATGGTGGTAGTGTGGTGGTGATGGTGGTAGTGGTGGTGATGGTGGTAGTGGTGTTGATGGTGGTAGTAGTGGTGGTGGTGATGGAAGTGGTGGTAGTAGTGGTGGTGGTAGTGGTGGTGATGGTGGTAGTGGTGGTGATGGTGGTAGTGGTGATGGTGGTAGTGGTGGTGTGGAGTAGTGTGGTGGTGATGGTGGTAGTGGTGGTGATGGTGGTAGGAAGAGATGAGAGAGACTTCTGCAGTGACCAACCCAAACTTACCACTCTCCTCACTTTACACCCACTCATCCCCTCCTCCTTTTCTCTCTCTCTAACACACACACACACACACACACACACACAAACACCACACACACATTATCGGGAAGATTTTGTGCCGTACACGTCTTTTGTGTTGTGGTGGTAGCAGGTGTGTGTGTGTGTGTGTGTGTGTGTGTGTGTGTGTGTGTGTGTGTGTGTGTGTGTGTGTGTGTGTGTGTGTGTGTGTGTGCACGGTTATAGCTGGTACACATCCCGCCATCACACTGAGCCTCCACACTTTAAGGTGATCTCATTTAACACCTGATCGTCAAGTAACAGAAACTCATCCACATTTTCCTCGTGGGTACACATGTTTCTACAGCACCAGGTAGAGCCAGGACAGTTATGTACTGGCTATAACTAATAATAACACCACCATTTCCATTTCAGTCGCGGCCGACGTTACCACACAGGTGTTTATTCATCACGACTCTGTCTCTCGGGAACATGGGAGTGTGGCACATCTCAGATCAATACTCCTGACACTGCGCTTTCCTCACACAGACACGATAACATAACCAGTATATATATCGTGTACTAAAAAGTTTTCTACCTTCACCCCCACGACCTAAACGGAACTAAATCTGAACCACCACAGCTCCCGGCCCTCAACTGGAGGACACCTTATTTACCGCCCAAACTATCGTACGGTAAAGCTCCTCTACTTTCATAACCTTTTCACTTAACTTATATTTACGGGTTATATACACTAATATAATAGAGTAGTAGGAATTACTCTAGAAATCTGATGCATTTAGGCCATTCAAAACTGTCCAGAAGGCAGAGAGATAAGGGAGATGAGGGCTGATCGTATGCCAGGCACCAGCGACCATTCATTCATAGGAGTAAGGAGCACGCGCAAGACCATGAATGGAGGAGATGCCGCCGTCTCTGCTCACCACCTACCACCACTTTCACCATTTATCTTTACCGTGACTAAATTACTCCCTTAAGTGTATCATTACCACAACACTTGCGGTAAATCTCTGCGTGTGAAGTGGAGGCGAGGAGGGAGGGATAGGTATGAGAGGAGGGAGGAGGCGTGGGAGGGTAGCTTTGGTGAACCCCCAAGCCCCCCCGACGCCACATTAAGCTACTCTTTCTGTCAACACTGGAAGACGTTCACAGGTGTGTTCCCGAGTGCCCATAAGACGCCAGGTAACTTGTGAGTGACGAACTTTTGTTTGAGTAACGAAGACTGACACACACACACACACACACACACACATCAATGTCTGGTAACTCGTGTGTGTGTGTGTGTGTGTGTGTGTGTGTGTGTGTGTGTGTGTGTGTGTGTGTGTGTGTGTGTCAGGCTGAGGTGAGTACATGTTAAGTGGATGAAACATGACTTATGAGAGACAGTGGGTGAATGTAAGATGAATGAAGTGAGGAGGTAGGAATGTTAGAAGAATGGAGGAGGAAGAGGGAGGAGGGAGGAGGAAGGAAGAGGAGGAGGAGGAGGAGGAGGGGGTCTATACCTTCCACCGTTCTCTCTCACCTCAGATCAATAACCGTCAACTACACCTTTACCATCATCACTACCACACCATCACCACACTGCCCATCACTACCACCCATCACCACACTGCCCCACCATCACTCCCACACCATCACCACACTACCACACCACCATCACTACCACACACCCATCCACCCTGCCACCCATCACTACCACACCATCACCCTACCACACCACCATCACTACCACACCATCACCACACTGCCACACCACCATCACTACCACACCACCATCACTACCACACCATCACCATCACTACCACACCATCACCATCACTACCACACACCACCATCACTACCACACCATCACAATCACTACCACCACCATCACTACCACACCATCACCACACTACCAACCATCATCACTACCACAACATCACCACACTGCCACACCACCATCACTACCACACCATCACCATCACTACCACCTCACCATCACTACCACCACCATCACTACCACCATCACCACACTGCCTCACCATCACCATAACTACCACACCATCACCATCACTACCACAACATCACCACACTACCATCATCATTCTCAAGAGCCACCATCAACACCGCCACCTCCACGTGTTGCTTTGAAATTAACCAGATTGGCGACTTCCCCATCTCTGACGTCACAGTAATCTGATGACGTTATCACCGACCCACTAATAATTTACCGATGACGTCATCCAACCCTCATATGATTGGTCGTCCGGGAGAACCTATCCAGTGACACAACACAGCCTGGGTCGGTGGATTCTCAGAGGAGCCGCGACTGATGCACAAAAACGCATCATACTCACTTAAGTTACGATAAAAATGCCCACAACGGTATCAGAACTACGGTAAAACACTAATTTACTTGAGTACACTTAGTAGCATCAGTTAGGAGACAATATTAACACTGAGACTCTACCTTAACTAGATACCTTCACTTAATACCAGTTATTGAGACAAAATTAACACTGAGACTTTACCTTAACTGGATACCTTCACTTAACACCCATAAGCTGTGAAGAAAAATGATATTCCCCATCGCCACCGTCACCTGAGCATAACCATAGAAGCATTGTGCAACCCAGCAAGACCGTACAAGACCCAGCAGGACCCAGCAAGACCCAGCAGGACCCAGCAAGACCCAGCAGGACCCAGAGACCCAGAACCCAGTAGAACCCATCCTAGTGTGCCAATATGCCCCCACCACATGAGCTTACTTACCTGTTGCTGCTGTCATGGTCAGTAACCTCTTGGTGGTGTTTATGACGTTACTGAAGGTCCCCACCACCAAGCACAGAGAGCACATTGGCGCCCCGATCACTAACAACTCTCAGGTAGGAAACACGATGAACGGAAGAAGGAGAAGAGTCATATTGTGTTGACATACAAGAGATAATCATCATTACTTGTTATATTTTACTTAACGAAGAACAGCGTGAAGTGGATGAGTGACTACAGTTCTCATCTCAGTCCTAATGACTTCTCGATCGTTTCAGCAGTACCCCCTATCCACACAGTTATGAATGGGGGTAACTAAAGTAAGTTTATAATTAGAAAAAATGATGACATGATGACAGACATTCAGTTCAACATTCTGTAACAAGATACCTATGACAGCTCCTCAACATTCATCCGTTCATCGTCACGCCTGCCTAGAGAAGCAAAGACAGGGAAGATGACGATAACTTACCTGATGATCTGGGGAAGGTGGGGCCCCACATCACTCTCTCCAGATGAGGCAGAAGACGAGGAGGTGGAGGGAGGAGCTGGGGGCGGAGCCAGGGGACGCACCACGCCCACACCGTCCTCTGACAGACCCGCCCCTCGCTCGCCATCTTCACGCTCAGCTAGGCCGCTTGTCTCACTGTAATGCAACAAGTTACATCTTATTACTGGTCTCTCTCTCTCTCTCTCTCTCTCTCTCTCTCTCTCTCTCTCCATCTACCACGTCAAAATAATTTACATAAATATCAATAATGTCCATCGTATATATTTTGTTTCACCTTGTACCTAAAAATACTGTTCAATTTTATCTGCGTGTAGATGTAGGAATTATCAGTCCTTCACAAAATAATGTCAAATCAAATATATAATAAAATACAATAACTTTACACTAAAATGCATTACAATACAATAAAATACAATAAATTTACACTAAAATGCACCACAAGACAATATAATGCATTAGTTCGCCACGATCCAAAGAAATAGTCCCGCAGCTCTATCATAGAAAACTGACACAGCGAAGGGATAACTCAACCATTTGTGTTTTCAATGGGATATTGTCGCAGTAAATTAGTTTATCTTTTTCCACGGTTCTAGACGGCAGTTATCAATATAATAAAATATATCTAACTTGACATTCCTCTTATAAATAAAAATAACCAACCAAACCTAAAATCGACTATAAACAAGAGCGTTTGGTTAGGTTAGGTTTGATTTGACGATAATGACCGAGTTACCCCTACGTGACTATATCAGTTTTCTATGATGGCGCTTCAAGACCTCTACAGTACATTCTCAAGGGATTGTACGATAAATAATTCTCTTAACCGCGAGAATAAAAGAGTAATTAATTTCCTCACTTACGATAAAATACAAACATATCATCTTAAATGTTATCTGAATAATGCTTAGTTTAACCCAATCCATTACGTCCATTAACCCTAATTACGAGGTTAAATTAACGTGTTATAAATACTCTTGAGAACATGGGACTTACTGTACCTGTACTTTATGATACAGTCATCATCTGGGACTTACTATACGTTGTAAACTGTATCTAAAACTAACTGTATTTTGTCAATAATTCCTCGTGAGTGTTGAGCCCCACCACAACACATCATTACTTAACCTTGAAATAATTACGTGGTTCTGGCAGCAATACACACCGCTGTTGCCGCTATGACTTTCACAATGAATGTTGCATCACCTGTGTTCTACTGTGTGTGTGTGTGTGTGTGTGTGTGTGTGTGTGTGCGTAGTTAAGTGGTAAGGTTAGTTTAGGTTAGGTTAGGTTAGGTTAGGTTAGGTTAGGGTTAGGTTAGGTGAGATTAAGTCAGGTTAGGTTAGGGTTAGGTTAGGTTAGACCAGCTGAGACCTACACAAGACAACCAAATGAGCAACATTCCAGCCTAGGACACTTGACTCACGATCACGTTTCACCCAAAGTTAATCCGTCACGGCGTTATAGTTGCTGTCCAGACGCCGTAACTGTTACCGGATGATGGGGGGATGGGGGAGCGTTATGGTGTTGAGGATATCTTGTGGCTTAATTCCAGTTAGCGTGAGACACCTTGAGAGGAACAATGGGTGGTGGTAGTGGGTGGTGGCGGTGATAGTGGTGATGGGTGGTGGTGGTGGCGTGATAGTGGTGATGGTGGTGGTGATGGGTGGTGGTGATGACGGGTGGTGGTGATGGGTGGTGGTGGTGATGAGTGGTAGTGAGTGGTAGTGGTGGTGGTGGTGGTGGTGGTGGTGGTGGTGGTGGTGGTGGGTGAGGTGATGTGGTGATGGGTGGTGATGACGGGTGGTGGTGATGGGTGGTGGTGGTATGGTGGTAGTGGTGGTGATGGGTGGTGGTGGTGTTGGTGCAAGAAAGACCTGGCAGACAGACAGGCAGGCAGCGAACAGTAACGAGCCAACGTGTGACTAATCCCTATCCATTACAGCACACAACGTCACACCCACATATACACACCTACCCACGCACCCACACACCTACCCGCACCCACACACCTACCACGCACCCACACACCTACTCACGCACCCACACACCTACTCACGCACCCACCCACGCAGCCACCCACGCACCCACACACCCATCCATCTTTTTACACTTTCTCCACAAGTTGGTAACAATGTGTGACAATGTTATGTTATGTTACGAACCCCACCACCACCAGTATCACCACCCGTCATCACCACCACCACCCGTCATCACCATCACCACCCGTCATCACCATCACCACCCGTCATCACCATCATCACTATACCAATCAACGAACTATATAATATCAGGGATGGTGGGCGGTGGGCGTGACCTTGACCCCTGGGTGTAAGGGTGGGAGGTCCCTGAGGTGCCCCCGACGCCTCCTCACCCTGTCCAGGATCACAAGAGGGCGTGAGAAACAACGATACGACACAAGTTATATTTTCCTTAATATCCAGGGTGATGGTGGGCGTGTATGGGCGTAGGCGGTGCTGGTGTGTGTGTGTGTGTGTGTGTGTGTGTGTGTGTGTGTGTGTCAAGAGTAAACACAGCAGACGTGAATCAACACTGCTGCCTCACCTGCCACCACCACCACCACCTACCACTACTACCACCACTACAACCATCCAGTACTACTCTTGAAGTGTGTGGTTAAGTTTTTCTTAGTACCGGGTTCGAATCCTGGTCATCGGGTACTTCAGGTGGTGACATTAACTCGCCAGCCAGGCCGTCACAAGACAGATGGGGTAACGCGTCACATTGGACCAAATTAATATTATGGAACAGATTCTTCTTTCCTTCATTTTGTGACGGTAACAGCTAGGATGTAACAAGCCCGCGCCCACACCTATAGTACACCCACGCCCGCCCACTCCACCCACGCCCACCTACACCGATCCTGAATAAACTAACGAGCTCTCACATGGAACAAGCACCAATCACTTGTCCCATCGCAGAACAATGAACAAAATCGACTGAATGTTCTGCGGCGGTATGTTCCTCCTTATTGTTCCTCCCTCCTTGTTCCCGATATCATTTAGTGCCCATTAGGAGGTCACCTGACAACTCTACTCCCCACACACACACACCTGTTGATACCTTGTACATATATTCTTGTGTACGTTCTCTACCATGGACGTACAGTATACATACATACATATGAACATAAACTATACATATACCTGTATATATATATAAACGTGTTAGTGTTGGGAAAGTGTCAGGGTAGAAGAAAGTGTCAAGGTAGGGAAAAGTGTCAAGGTAGGGAAAAGTGTCAGGGTAGGGAAAGTGTCAGGGTAGGGAAAGGAAGAGGAAGTGTCAAGGTAGGGAAAGTGTCAAGGTAGGGAAAGTGTCAAGGTAGGGAAAGTGTCAAGGTAGGGAAAGTGTCAGGTAGGGAAAGTGCAGGGTAGGGAAAGTGTCAGGTAGAAGAGGAGGGAACAACAAGCCCAAGACAGTACACAGAGAGAGAGAGAGAGAGAGAGAGAGAGAGGAGAGGGGGGGGGGGGGGGGGGGGAGAGAGAGAGAGAGAGGGGGGGTGCGGGATGACTGAGTGGAGGGAGAAGGAGAGAGGGAGGAGGGAGGGGAGGGAGGGAGGGAGGGAGGGAGGAGGGAGGAGGGAGAAGGAGGAGAGAGGGAGGAGTCGACGCGCCGCCTGGGTGTACTGAACTCTGCCGCGCCTGAGGTAAACACAACTACCCCAGCTACCACCACCATCACCACCCCACTATCACCACCACCATCATCACCACCACCACCACACTATCACCACTATCACCACTACCACCACCACAACCACTATCACCACCACCACTATCACCACCATCATCATCACCACAACCACAACCACTATCACCACCACCATCACCACCACTATCACCAACACCATCACCACCACCACTATCACCACCACCATCACCACCACCATCACCACCACTACCACAATCACTACAGTACTTTAACATCACAATTGACATGCCACCGTAACATAACATGACAATTGTGACATGACAGTTGCAGTACAATATCAAACATAACCAAACATTGTGACAGACATGACACTAACGGGTGAATCATGACAGAAGTGAGATGAAACACACACACACACACACACACACACACACACACACACACACACACACACACACACACACATACATCTAGTCCAGGAGGTCGATGGACTGACTCGGTAGGACAAGTCGAATGAATGACCGAGTCTTCTGAACTAACGCCACACCCAATACCGGTCCTTCTCCAACCACCCCCCATCCTGAATAGTCCTTTCCTACTCTCCTGTAGCCCCCTCCCAACCCTACCCCACCCCACCCCACCCAACCCCACCCCAACCCCTCCTCCCAGGACAGCGTAACCGACCACAAGCTTAAATAAGAGCGCCTCACAGTTTTCATTTGTTCGGGATTAAATATAGACTGCAGGTGTATAAACAATGTATATAGACGATGCAGGTATAGCAATGTATATAGACAGTGCAGGTGTATAAACAATGTATATGGGCAAGTGCAGGTGCTTATAAACAATGTACCTGGAGCAGTGCGGAATGTATAAACAATGTATATAGACAGTGCAGGTGTAGCATAGAAAGCAATGTATATAGACAATTTGCAGAGATTGTATAAACAATAATGTATATAAGGAGCAGTGCAGGTGTATAAGCAATACATAGACGGTGCAGGTGTGTAAGCAATGTATATAGACTGATACCGTTTTATAAACAATGTATATAGACAATTGCGAATTATTATAAACAATGTATATAGACGGTGCAGGTGTATAAACAATGTATATGAGGAGCAATTACAGGTGTATAAACCAATGTATATAGACAGTGCAGGTGTATAAGCAATGTATATAGACAGTACGGAATTATTTATAAACAATGTATATAGACAGTGCAGGTGTATAACCAATGTATATAGACAGTGCAGGTGTATAAACATGTATATAGACAGTACAGATTATTTATAAACAATGTATATGAACAAAGGTACAGGTGTATAAGCATGTATATAGACAGTGCAGGTGTATAAACAATGTATATGAACTAGTACAGGTGTATAAACAATATATAGACAGTGCAGGTGTATAAACAATGTATATAGACCCAGTGCAGCAGGTGTATAAACAATGTATATAGA